CGACTAAGTTTTATGCTTTTGATGTAAGGAAGTGATTTATAAATCACGCTCCATTGTAAAAGGAGATCTTCTGAGAGATTGTCGTCCCAGCCTACTTTGTGTCGCCATAATTTCTGCATAAAAACTTTCGCTTTGAGAACCACGGGTGTGACCCATCCAAGTGGATCGAATATTCTGGCTATGGTAGAGAGAATCGTTCGTTTTGTAGAAGGGAGAGTCTGTGGTAATTCAATTTGAAACTGGAAACAATCGTGCGTCGGATTCCAAAAAATACCGAGAACCTTCAGATTGTTGTCAGTCTCGAATAATTTAAGCTGTGCGAGCCCGTGATGATCCGATGAAATATCTGAGAGCAACTCCGGTTTGTTACTCGCCCATTTGCGAAGATCGAATCCACCGCGTTTCAACAATTTGCAAACTTGATCTCGAGTCTGTTTAAGGAGAGGCATATCTTCGGCCCCAAACAGCACGTCGTCCACATAGACGTTCTCGCTTAAAACCGCAGATGCTAGTGGAAACGAGCTTCCTTCATCATCGTTTAACTGATTAATGACTCGAAGAGCTAAAAACGGTGCGGAAGCCGTACCGTATGTTACCGTAAGGAGTTGATGTTCTTGAATATTCGAATTTTCATCTATCCATAGGATGCGTTGATAATCTCTATCTCGCGAGTCGACCAATATTTGTCTATACATTTTCGCTATGTCTGCGGAGTAAACGTATTTGTGCTGTCGCCAACGTAATAAAACCGATTGCAGATCTAACTGTAGTTTAGGCCCAGTAAACATGTGAGAATTGAGCGAGGTACCGTTAGAGGTTGTGCATGAGGCGTCAAATACGACTCTCAACCGAGTTGTCGAACTAGTCTCTCGAATGACCGGATGATGAGGGATGTACACGACTTGTGAATTTACTGAATCCACCGGTGCGATTACTTTCATATGATTCAACTGTGCGTATTCGCTCATGAATTCAGCATACTCCTGCTTAATCGCAGGTTGATTATTAATTCTCCGAAGTAACGACGAAAGCCGACGCGCGGCTATTTCGCGAGATTCACCGATTTCGATGGGTGGGCCGTTTCGAAACGGCAGACGCACGATATATCTCCCATCCGATGTTCTCGAATGCGTTTGTTTGAAATGTTCTTCGCATTGTTCGTCATCTGGGGACATTTCAATTGATTGAGGTGTTTCTTCTGCCTCCCAGAATTTAGACAATTGATTTTCGAGAGAACAACAATGAGCGACAACACTGTAACGTTGATTTAACTGAGCTGATTGCACGACGCGACTCGCATCCTCAACAGGCGGAATTACGAGAGTTGAAGTTACCACATGAGAGGGTTGTGTCACGTGATTCGGGATAGAGGTTGTTCCGGATAGGATCCATCCGAAATGCGATTCAATTGCACCTGGTTGACCGAGCGGTCCGTTACGTACGTGAACGAGTACGTGATTATATAAATCGGATCCTATTATGAGATCAATCGGTGTTGATCCGGTAGGATCATCGTCAGCCAATTCCAGATTGGAAATATGTTTCCAATCTTGCGATTGCGAAGCGTTTCTGGGAGCATACCTCGTTAATGCCTTCATAATATAGGCAACCGTTGTGAACCTTGGTTTCGATTTTTTGCGAGGAGTGATGTGAATCAGAGCCGCAGATCGGCATGTACCGGTGTCAGCGCAGCTTATTCCCGACGTTGAAGTAAGCGTTCGTATACGCTTGAGACGTAATATTTGAGCAACGCGCTCCGTCACAAACGTGAGCTCTGATCCACCGTCAATCAAGGCTCTGACAACCAATGAGCGTCCAGAAGGCGCCTGCAAATTCACCTTTGCAGTAGATAAGACAACAGGAGTCGGCGCAGTTGTCATTGTAACTGATGAGAGTGCCGTAACGTTAGGCACGTTGTCGATGACGTCATTCGCGTTTGACGTATTGTTCGCATTTGTAACTTGTTGCAATGAGTCCGAATCGAGATGAATCATAGAATGATGTCGTTTATTACATGTTCGACATGTGAAATTACTTTGACAATTGATCGACATGTGTTTATCACTCAAACAATTAAAACATCGTCGAAATTTCTTAACCAATTCGCGTCGCTGAATCGGACTCTTTGCTACAAATTGCGGACATTTTGAGAGAATGTGCGATTGCTTGCACATTGAACACACTATATTAAATGACGCAGTCGCTGTTGCGCTAGTCACTTTCGCATGTGACTTGGTCTTGTCGTTATCGCGAGGGTGAAGTTCCTCTAACGCGAGAGCACGCGACGAAATAAATTTTAATACTTCTTTGTATGTTGGCGGATTTTCGATATCGCTCGTTTTTAACTTCCACGCACGGCGCGTGGCGGGATCGAACTTCTGAGAGAGAAAATAAACTAACATGTCGCTGACTATATCGTCCGGCGAACGATTAAGACGTTGCAATGTTGAGATCGCTTGTTCGGCTTTATCGCGTAAGGCGTGAAGCTCGACAGCTGACTCACGAGTCATTTTCGGAAGATTATACAAATTCGAAATGTGAGTCTCAATTAATCGGCGCTTATTTTCAAAACGCGCTGTTAATGCTTTCCACGCAACCGAGAAGTTATCCGCGGTGACTTTAATACCTGATATCGCATCGCGAGCTGAGCCTGTTAAACTTGACACTAAAAAATGCATGCGACTGAAGTTCGATAATTCGCGATTGTCTATAATAAGCGATTGAAACCGATCGCGAAAAGTCTCCCACTCCTCAATCTTACCGGTGAACGGCGGCAATTTGATGGGAGGAAGATGTTTGACCGATAATGACGCAGAGTCTGTATGCGCGAACGAAGCGTTGAAAGAGGTTTCACGACTTACGACTGGAACCAGCTCCTCCAAGCACTCGTTCATGTAGTCCATAGCTGCCTGATAGAGGTCCTCGTGGAAGGCGAAGGTCTCCTTTTTGAAGTAGTGAATTGAAACTTGCTTCTCGTCAGGAACAAGCTGCAGCAGTGTCGCGTGATTGCGTACACATTGTGTCCACGTGTCTTGTAAGCTCGTCATTCGCGAGCGAATTTTGGCGGCCGTCAGATTTGACCGACCGATCTTCTTAAAATTGTCGAGAGCTCGAGCAACTGAATAGCAAGCAGTTTGTTGATTTGCAAGAGCTTCTTCCATTTTGACACTGAATTTAATCAACTGAGGTTTAAACGACACTGAATTTAATCAAATTAGGTTTCTTTTACGAACCGAGCTGTCACTCTCTTTGAATGCACTGATAGCGTTTGATGATGTCCGATTTTGAATGTACTTGCAATGTCACTGTGTTTTTTACTTGAGTTTTTCACTTTTCAATTCGTCACCAATCTCAAATCCGGCTCGAAGGACCAAATGTTGCGAACGCGCGGCTTGAACCGTGGTCCGACGCGAAGCTGCGGCGAACGAGCATGCTCGGCCTTTTTAGGGCCGCGTCTCGCGCGCCGCCTCTCAAATCCTTCACCCGTTTTTTTTTTTTTATTGGAAAGAAATCATAGGAATCTCATGAGAGATGTGATGGATGGACAATAGGATAATTGTTGAGTGGACTGTATCTTAATAGGGTGATCGCGCACCCATGTGTGCGCTGAGATTGATGATTTACGTAGGAAGCCGAATTGAAAAGAAGTCTTGAAGTTGATGAACAAAAACAGATCAATTTATTATTTCACATGTCAGAAAGTCACCTGGACTTGACACAAACAAATCAAAAAAAAAGAACAAAAACTCGATATGAGAATCGAAAGCGTTTGCTGTACACGTTTCGAAGCTCGCGATCACAAAAGAAAAAACTGTTTGTTCGATATCGACACCAATGTTTTTTGTCGCAAGAGAAAACAATGTCTTATTTGAAAGTCACGATCGCGAATCGTACAACAACAAATTTGTCCTCTTGTGGACGACCGTTATAATTTATCGAACACGCGCACATATGATTTGACGCGACTTAATAATTGTCTTCAATTATGTGACATTCAATCCTCCAGCAGGATCCGAATATTCGTAATGTTCGATCACGTGCATTTATATGCAATTAACTATCACACAGAATCCTCCAGAAGGATTCGAATATTCGCAGGAGTCGATCACGTGTACGCAGCGTGCACAATACGACGGCGAGTTCGTCGCGACGGCGTACTACGACAATTGTGAGAGAGAGCGCGAGAGAGAGAGAGAGAGAGAGAGAGAGAGAGAGAGAGAGAGAACGAGCGAGAGAGAGAATGCACGACATGCATTCACCGATACGCGAATATCGCAGTGAATCCTCCAGCAGGATCCGAATACTCGTAATGTTCGATCACGTGCACGTAGCATGCACGAGACAATGGCGAATTCGTCGCGAGAACGTGTATGTTGCGTCGCGAACGAGATCCGATTACCCGTTAACTCTTCACTCTCGATATGTCACACAATACCGCGCAAATCTGTTCGTATTTGTCGCGATAATACATTCACGCACTTATTACACGTAACGCGAATTCTTTGGTCTGACTTGCGACCAACGCCGGCTCTCTCTCCGCGACGACTGTCTCCGACGGAATGCTACCCTCATCGATCACGCTATCGACCGCCTGATCGCGAGGGGTACACGCGGAACGCGCTAATTGGCCGAAAATTTGCTTCCGCGGCGCTTCCCGCGGTGCGTGCCGCGAGGTGCTGCCGTGTTAGGCCCGCGGCAATTGCTTTCACTTAAATTCTCGACTGTTCGTGAATTTTCGTTCGATCGAGCGCGGCAAATTTTTCTGAATCCTAAACACATAGTAAATATTATATACAAATTTGAAGCAAATCTGAATAAAAATATAATTGATATTTTTCTCATTCCTAATAATTATTTTTAATTTTTCATTAAACAAAAAATTACTTTTAATAATTTTTTATATATATATATTTCCAAAGTTTTTTTTTTACATAAATTTATCACAAATTTATTTTTATAAGTAAAAGCAACTCTATACCTCAGATTTTCTGTGTACGTACTTAATAAATCTGCATTATGTTTACGTTTGTGTTATTTTTATCATTTTTCTTTTCATTAAAGGTATTGAAGTTTCTGAAATAAAAAGTTTTATTAACAATTTGCAAATATACACGAATATATAAAAAATTTCTTCCAAAAATAAAAAAGTATAATATATTATTAAAAAAACTAAAGCTTGTGAAAATATTTACCTTATGTTTTGTGCACTACAAGATTTTGCAACCGGAAACTGTTTAATGGTTGCCATTTTTGCAGAAAAGATTTGCTGTCCCTCGGTTGCCATTTTTACAGGAGAGATTTGCTGTCCCTCGGTTGCCATTTTCACAAAAGAGATTTGCTGTCCCTCGGTTGCCAATTTTGCAGAAGAGATTTGCTGTCCCATATGTAAGCCGAAATTTCTGAAAAACACATATTCTAAAGTTTTCACTGATACATTAATGGTTTGACTGATTTACAAACACCACTTTAGTTTTATAAAGATTAATTAAAATATTACATACTTTTGAAGACTGGAATATTTTCCCGCTAGAGGTGCTTGGAAAGTTTTCATGTTTGTTACTGTTCTCAAAGAAAAAAATGAAAACTAATCGTTTTATATCATAAAAAGATTTGTAACCGATCTTCTTATCATACAATACATTGTATCAGGAGACGCGGTAGTGTCTCCCGCCATGTGTTCAACCCTAAAAGACCTTAAAAAAGACACTACAAGTCTCTTATCCTGCACCATCAAAGTCCATCTTTTGGGGGTGTAGAACTACTAAAATATAAAAAATTTTAAATTGCACGTAATATAACCTGAAAGGCGGCATCGCCACGAGTAATTTGAGCCAAGAAGGAATAAAATCGGTCAAGCCGTTCTGGAGATACAAGCGGTCAAAAAGTGACGTTTTTCATGAAAAATGAAGTAACGTCGTCTTCTTCTTCTTCTTCTTCTTCTCTGTCCGCGTCCGCTGACGTCTCATCAGGATTATATATATATATATATATAAATCTCTTCTCACCTTTCACTCACACCTTCCTCAACTTCCATCCACTCCTTTCCCTCCCACATCCGTCCCCCCGCCCCCACCCCCACCCCCCCCACCCCCCCTCCCCCTTTCGCCCTAACTCACCCTTTTTCGTCCTATTTTTTCAGTTTTTTTCGTTCTCTCTCACCCTCTGTTGTCCTTTTTCACCCTTTTTTCACCCTCTTTCGTCCTCTTTCACCCTCTTTCGTCCTCTTTCACCTCTTTTGTCCTCTTTCACCACCTTTCGCCTCTTTCACCCTCTTTCGTCTCTTTCACCCTCTTTCATTCTCTCTCACCCTCTTTCATTCCCTCTCACCCTCTTTCACCCTGTTTCGTCTTCTTTCACCCTCTTTCATTCCCTCTCACCCTCTTTTGTCCTCTTTCACTCTCTTTCGTCCTCTCTAACCCTCTTTCATTCTTTCTCACCCTCTTTCGCCCTCTCTCACCCTCTTTCGTCCTCTTTCACTCTCCTTTGTCCTTTCTCACTCTCTTTCATTCTCTCTCACCCTCTTTCGACCTCTTTCACCCTCTTTCGTCCTCTTTCACTCTCCTTTGTCCTCTCTCACTCTCTTTCATTCTCTCTCACCCTCTTTCACCCTCTTTTGTCCTCTTTCACCCTCTTTTGTCCTCTTTCGTCCTCTTTCGCCCTCTTTCATCCAATTTCGTCCTCTTTTACCCTCTTTCGCCTATCTCGTCTTTTCTTACCCTCATTCGTCCTCTCTCACCCTATCTCCAAAAAATCATAAAAACCTAGATACGATCTTTGATACGACAGATACAGATGATGGTTTCTTTGGCAGAAAACACATTCTCCTGTTTGGGGACTTGTTGCAGCTTCCTCCTGTAAAAGGACAATTTTTGTTTGTTAAAATGTCTCGATCAGAGATTCAGAAGTATTTAGGTACCATGGGTGGATGTGATTTGTGGAGATTGTTCGAGTACGACAAACTTTTGATTAATATGCGACAAAAATGCGACAATACATATCGTGATATACTTTCTAGAATACGAATAGGTTTAGTAACGGATTCTGACATCAATGTTCTTCAGTCTAGAAAAATCAATTTTAAAGAAAGTAGTTGCGACGAAAGATTGAATGAACTTTGCACTTATATGAATCAATTACCGATTGATACAATTTGTTTATTGCCCACGTGTTATTTGTGCAAGGTTTTGAACACAGCAATGCTCGATAAAATCGACAGCGATGAAATTCTACTGATAGCAGAAGATGATGTCGACTGTGCTCCAGCAATGAAAAAAAAGGTGCATAAAATTTTAGAAGACAAAGATGATAAAGTGTCTGAAACAGCTGGCATTAAAAGAGTAATAGCGATTAAAATTGGCGCTAAAGTGATGATTCGACGAAACATTGACGTAACTTTGGGACTTGTCAATGAAACGATAGGCAATGTAGTTGCAGTTAATCGCTCTGCTGACGGCAATCGTATTGATTCCATCAAAATAGTTATTTCGGATAACAAAGAAATCGCAATAACGAAAGTAGATATTAAATTTGAAGTATTCCACAAATTAGTGATACATCGGAAACAATTTCCATTGTCTCTCAGTTATGGAATAACTATACACAAAAGTCAAGGAATTACATGTAACAATGCAATGATGGATTTAGGAACGACTGTATTCAGTGATGGTCAAGCCTATGTAGGTTTGTCACGAGTAAGTAAATTGGAAGGCCTACATTTGATAAATTTCAATCCAGCATCAGTTAAAGCAAACTCGAGAGCCATTGTAGAATATAATCGACTGAAATCTATATTCAAATCTGAACTGCCACAAATCAATCCATCCGAGAAAAAGGTTGTGAAAATGTACGATCGTCGATGGGCTATCCCTAATATCATTGATGATGTGCAGAATTATGATTGTGAGGAACCAGAAAGTATAGTTACGTGGAAAATATATGGCCTTTGCAATAACGATGCTGTTTCGTGTTACGCTAATGTAATATTACAATGTGCGTTTCATTGCGTACGTATTAGGCAACAAATACTGAAAAATAAAGCATCGAATGCATTGACTGATGCCATCTGCGCGTATGGTGAACGTAAATATTGCAACATTCAAGCGGTTAGAAGATCTGTCGGAAAACGCTTCGAAGAACGAACACAACAAGATGTTTCGGAATTTTTTACGGCTCTAATGTCGACGTATTCCGACATCAATGATGTATTAGAACTCGAATTAAAGCACGTAACATGTTGCTCGAATGTCAAATGTAATTACAATATAACTAAGCTGGAAAGCAGTAGTTTGTTAATATTACCTATACATTCGACATTAAAAAGAAAAAAAGGTGTCACTCTACAAAGTTTGATTAATGTAGAATTTTTTAAATGGGAAACGATAAACGGCAATTGTAACGAATGTAAGAGTACCGTGTTGAAAAAGAAAACCGTAATCGAATCAACTTTATCCGTCGTAGTAATACAGCTCAATTTATATACTTTTGTAAACGGTGCTTCTAAAAAATTATCAACAATCGGATTACCGCCATGCTGATGAGTAATATCACGATTAATAAAAAAAAGTACAAGGTAATAAGCGCTATATTTCACGAAGGTGAAGAAATGAATCGTGGTCACTACACGTGTATGTTGAGAGCTGACACAAAATCGGAATGGTATTACTCTAATGATATGGAAGTGTTCAAGAAAAAATGGCCCAAAGGAGCACAAGGGGCATACATATTGTTCTTAGAACAGATTAAATAATGGCGCTGTATAAAGGCTGCCGTAAACGCTACATTAAAACATCAACTGTTCTAGTGCTGTATAAAAGTTGCCGTAAGCGCCAAAATAAAATATCGGCTGCTCTGGCGCTTTATAAAAGCTGCTGTAAGCGCTGCATTAAAACGAGTGCAATAAGTTTCTTATTTGACCTAGGCTTCATGACATTTCAAAAAGTATCATCAAGAAAAAAATTATCAGACAGAAATATGTATGTCGTGTTAAAATCGGAGAGACGAAAAAAAATATATGGTTGCGTTCTCACGAGAATGGGCGATGGAGGGGCCCATTCTTTATTTTCAATATTTATACAAGAATATAAATTCATTCTGTTGCAATTGAAATAAATGTGCAATGTATCGTTAAAAGTTATTACAATTATACAAACATTTACATATATGATTAAATAAAAAATATATATGTATACTATAATATAATTATATATTTTATATATGTACATATATACCATATATATTTCAATTATTTTGAACTGTATTGCATAAATTGTTACTTATACAAAGTTATGTGATAAAAATCGAAAATACATATATTTGTGATACTTGAATTACTAGAAAGCTGCTCTATATATTTGTACTTAAAAAGTAACTGATATCCTAAAAAAATCATAAAAATGAAAAGGTCAGGCCATGTTCAAAAGAAAATACTCAAAAATTTAAACCTTTAAAAATTTAAACGATCTAATAATAAATTATCACGAAAAGTAACTGATATGTTATTCAAGGTGCCAGTTCAAAGTGAACATACGTAAAGTGTATATTATTTAAATTTAGTAATAATATATTACCATGAAAAGTAACTGTGATATTTTATTCAAGGTACAAGTTCAAAGTGTGAACATACGTAAAGTGTATATTATCTAATTTAGTAATAATATATTACCATGAAAAGTAACTGTGATATTTTATTCAAGGTGCAAGTTCACATTGAACATACATACATATAAGTAAAACTGATTACAATTTGATTTTAGAAAATAAGTGCGATATGTTATTCTTAGTGCACAAAATATAATAGTCGTTTATAGAGATTTGATTTGAAATTCATACTAGCCCGTACAATGAAAAATAATTGCTCGTAATTCCAGAGTACCAATTTGTTAATGACTCAGAAAAATAACATGGCGGCCTGCTCTCAAAAAACTTTCGATGGATAGAATAAATTAATTAAGAGTTTGTGGATTTTTCGGTTACTCCAACATTTTGGTAAATTCCCGTTTCTTACATAAAATCCTGTCAAAAAATTAACTAATAAAATGCATTATCTCATCGTCTTGAACGATAATAATTGATAGCAGGACCATTTAATTATTTAAATGTAACCACGGGAACTTACCACGATGTTACGGATTACCGAAATCCACAAAATCGATTGTCCATTACGAATTATAGTGTCTTCATTATGTAGTCCGTTGTATAATCTTTCTAACTACAATCCATAAGATACTTGTTAATTCGATAAGAAACCGGGATCTTTTGTTAAGGACGGTTGTCCTTCGTCGAGAGTATTAAGAATAAGGTGATTACTGATAACGAATTACTAGTGTCATAGACGTTACCTCCCTGTTTACGAATTCCGAAAGAGTTAGTAATCAGCGGCGTAAAAAAGCGTTGGATGGACATTTCAACCAATACGAAATCAATCTTTCCCAATTTTTATATGTGATTGAGTTCATATTAGACTCTACTAGTTTTGTTTTTATGGACAGTATTATGAACAGATTTTGGCAGTCCTATGGGGTCTCCGCTCTCACCCATATTAGCGGATATCGTAATGGACGATTTAGAGACTAACTGCCTAGAAGA